ACATCAAATTAGAAAAAGATTATTTTTTATTAGAGGAAACAGAATTTCAGGCTTTCTTGGCCCAAAAAAAAAAAAATCAAGATAACCTTAATAAACGATGTCATTTTGACAAAAAGGCCAAATAATGCCTTCTCCACCCTTTCTCTCTAAGTTCCTTCCTGCCAAATCTCATTCGCATCATTTCTTCCCCTGCTCAACTCATCCTCAAATCCTTCTTACTGGAAATTATTGTTCTAAATACTATAGGCTCCTTATTAACTGCAGCACTTGATAAAAACGATTATTGGAAATCTCCATCTAGAGATTTTGCATTTGGATTCCAACAGATAGAAGTTGGAATGTTCTTGCTAGCCATATGGTTTGAGAAAATACCTAAAAAGACCATTATTTGGTCAGCCAATGGTGGAAATCTGGTGCAACAAAGCTCCACAATTCAACTTACAACAGATGGCTACGTTCATGCTCAATGACAGCCAAGGAAAGCAAGTGTAGGCAGCTAAATTGGCTGGCTCTGGTATTGTTTCTTTTGCAGCTATGCTCAACACTGAGAACTTTGCGCTGGCAAGCCAGGACTCCACCAGTTTGTGGAAAAGTTTTGATGACCCGACTGACACAATACTACCCACACAAATATTAAGCATAGGCAGCAACAGCAGCCTTGTTGCTCCTTATTCAAAAATGAACCACGTACTCAAGCGGAAGATTTTTGATGCGGTTACAATTAATCAAATGGAAATCTTGTACTTTCGACTGTATATTTCCCACTGCCTTCACCAAACCATTTATATAGTTCCTAGTAAGGTTCGGAAAAGGTTATACCTTGGTCATTGGACATTACAAAGGTCCTTTCTTAGGGGCCAAAAAACCCCTGCCATCATTTTCAAACTCCAATTTTGCACTATTTCTCTCCATTTCCCTCGAGTAACAGTCTCAATTTATGTCTCCCCTTTTACAATTGTCAAAACCCCAATTTATAATAATATATAAACCCTAGAACTTGCTTGATGATACTGACTGACGATCATGAGGTATTGATTGCATTTACTTTCTGTTAATGACTTAATCTACCCTTACATAAGGAAAAATGCTGAAAATTGTATATTTACCTCTCCATTTTCAGTTATTATTGAAATGAATTATACTTTTTCTTGAATTAAAAATTTCCCATACTTTCTCCATTTAGTTAATAGTCACATCAACACTTATGGTTTGAGTAGAGGAAAGGGGAGTAGGAAAAAA